CTTGTCAGTAACAGTTTTCCATTCTTCTGATTGGTCAAAGGATCAATCAACCTCAGTTTTTGGAGTGTTTGCTAGCTATGTGGCTGCTGAAATTTAGAAAAAAGAAAGAAAGAGGACTGGGAGGGGGAGGGAGAGAGAGAAGGAAAGAACACAAGAAGAAAGGAGGGAAGGAAGGAAGGAGGAGATAGAAAGAGAGGAAGAAAGAAGAAAGAATGAGAGAATGAGAGAAAGAAAGAAAGAAAGAAAAAAGATTTTCACTGAGTACAATAGTACCTTCAACTCTTCTAATTTATCTGCATTCTTGCAGATATTTTTCTCTTCTTATCTAAGCTCCCAATTGCTCTAGAGTTGAGAGTTTCAGATATCTGACTCCCTAATAACTCAGACATTACAATATATTGAAAAGTGTACTTTTCTGTTAACTATTCACAGCCTCCTTCCAGAGTTTATAAAAGATTCCTTTCAAAATATGTTTGAAGTTAGGAACTAAGCATGTGGTTTGCCCAATAGTGCTTCCAGATGTTGATAAGTATAGTTAAAATGCCTTTACAGATATACATATATATATACACACACATATATGTGTATATCAATAGAGAAACTGCTCATTAAAATTAATTTATAGTTTAAGACTTCCTTTTTAAATATAAAAGGAACTATCTGAACTATTACCGTCATTTTTTTAAAGCTAATGCCATAAGTAACAAAGACTCTAAAGCCTCCTCGAGTTGCCTGCCTTGTTTTTCATCCTATTCCAAATCTGATGTCCTAACCACTTATAATTTTAAGTTTACTTAAATCTACTCAACAGATGTTCTAATATGATATGATGACAGATATTTTATCTAGACAACACCCTAACAGTGTTTGAAAAGTGGAAAATCTTATTTAATCAGCTATTTGACAATATATAAATTAAAAGCCAAGTTATTCTCTCTGGAATTGGGTATGAGGCATTTGTAACCATACACATACCAAGTAACACAGTGTCTTATGAAGAAGGAGTAGGTACACATACCCAGCAAGAAGAGTTAAAGTTCCCACTCATGTTCTCTTCATGGGTATATTGCAGTAAGAAAAATTTTTCCCAGCTATTTTATAGGCTGGGGGTCAACAAAGAAAGCCAGATACCAAGATGGTATTAACTTCAGGGTTCCTTCCCCTGACACTGCACATTCTCTGTGACCCACTCAAAATGTCCCCGCACGTCAGCCCCTCTTCTTATAGTGAAGAAATAGTAGCTATTCAGTATCTTTTATTTTTTCCATATCTGGCTATCAAAGGAAAAGGTGGTCTTATCAGTAAAGACATAGTCGTGTTCATCTCGGAAATGCTGGCATCTTCTAGTGTAGTCCACAGTGTTTATGGTTCATAAATGAAGTTTTCCACTTTTTATAAATCTTGAATTAGTCTGGTAATTTAAGAGCTTATTATATGTGAAATCAACAATTTCTAGATAATGAGTTGGTAAAAATGCCCAGAAGAAATATAGAATGTTCCCTTGTTTGTTATAAAAGTGCCATTTAGGCTGACGTGGGAGGATCACTTGAGCCCAGGAGTTCAAGGCAGCAGTGAGCTATGATCATGCCACTGCATTCCACCCCGGGTGACAGAGCCAAAAAGTTAATTTTATCAAAATGGAAGAAATTATCTGTTGTAAAATAAAAATAAAAGTACAATTTTAAAATTTTGGTAAACTCAGAGAAACAAAAGTTGAAGTAGAGAAGGGAAATTATATCAATGAAAAAGAAAGAGATGGTAAAATACCAATTAAAAAGAACATTCTTTCCCTTTACCTGGT